TATATGCAAACACTCATGCACACACATCTATTTCACCCTGCAAGGAGCGTCAGAGCTGTTTTCCAAAGTGCCGGTAGTTGAACGGGTTTTTTGTTGTTTTTTTTTTTACAATTTCTGGGCGCGCAAATTTTGATATTTCAGATCTCTTTGGGAATCCTGTGTTTGGGGAGGGGGCTGTTTTTTGTTGCTCTTGTTACTTGTTTATTGAGTTTTTGTTATAATTTGGTACGAGTTTTTTTTTTTCTTTTGCTGGAAAGGAAAAGGAGGTAGCCTACATTGTGTTAGTTCTCTGCGAGCTTTTACTTTCACAGCGTCTTCACGAGTGTATATCGCAACTGTAATTCGAAGCTGTTCCTCACTCTATAATTATTTTACCGAAATGTTTTGTGTACGAAACCAGACGAGAGCGCAACTCCTGAGTAGAATTTTTTTTTTTACCCTTATAGGCAATGAAGCAGTCGCTTTCCAATTGACCAAAATAAATTGTGTCGATGGGCTCACAGTGCATGTACAGTAAACATCATTACTTATTTTCGTTAATGTTCTTTGGAATGAATGGTACCATCATCATCATCATCATCATCCTCATCATCATCATCATCATCATCATCATCATCATCATCATCATCATCATCATCATCATCAAAACAATAACACTAATAGCAACAAGAGCAAACAATAATTGCACCGTGAACAAACAACAACAAACAACAACAACAAAACCAAAACCAACAATAACAACAGTAACAACAACAGCAACATCATGTACAGTATGTTACTCCTCTCTATTCGTCCTAGGCGTAGAGACCACAACGGTGGCAATCCCAACAACAACGACGTCATCAGCAACACCAACCGAGGACGTCGACGACTTTACTTATGTCCACACACCCAAGAGCTCCTCTGCCACCATCACTCCAACCTCAGAAACCACCCCAAACACAACAGCAACAACAACAACAACAACAACCGCCACCACGAGAAGACAAACATTCACAGCACAATCATCCGTGACAACAACATCCACAACCACTCCCACGACAACGAGCTCTCCCCCCAAAACAGAAACAACAACACCACCAACAACACAAACAACAAAACCTACAACAACACCAACAACACCAACAATACCAACAACAACAACACCAACAACAACATCAACATCAACAACAACACCAACATCAACAACAACACCAACATCATCAACAACAACAACAACAACAACAACAATAATACCAACAACAAAAACATCATCATCATCATCAACAACAACAACAACAACAACAGCAACAGCAACAACAGCAACAGCAACAACAGCAACACCAACAACAACACAAATAACAACACCAACACCAACACCAACAACAACAACATCAACATCAACAACACTAACAACAACAACACCAAATCCAACAACACCAACAACACCACCAACACAAACAACACCAACAACACCACCAACAACAACTTCAACAACAGCATCAACAACAACAGAAACAGCAACACCACCACCACCCCCAACACCATCAACAACACCACCAACACCACCAACAACAACAACAGCAGCAACAACAAAACCAACAATACTAACAACACCAACAATAGCACCAGAAACAACAACAACACCACCAACAATAACAGCAAGAACACGAAAAATACCAATGCCAACAACACCAATAACAACACCAACAACACCAATGTCAACAACACCAAAAACAACACCAACAACCACACCAACAACCACACCAACAACAATATCAACAAAACCACCACCAGCATCACTACCAAAAAACAACAACAACAACAACAACAACAACAACAACAACAACAACAACAACAACAACAACAACATCATCATCATCATCATCAACAACAACAACAACAACAACAACAACAACAACAACAACAACGACAACGACAACAACAGTAACAACAAACCAACAACACTAACAACACAAACAATAGCACCAGAAACAAAAACAACACCACCAACATTAACAACAACAACAACAACAACAACACCAACAACAACGCTACAAACAACAACACCAACATCAATGACACCACCACCACCAACAACAACAGCAACAGCAACAAAAACAACAGCAACACCACCGTCAAGAACCACAACAACAACATCATCAACAACAACAGCAGAGTCTACTACAAGGGCGAAAAAATCGAGTATCTTAGAAAAAGGGACAAGAAAACTACCTCTCACAACAGCGACAACTGCAGCAACCACACCAAAGGCGACGGAGAAATATGCCGGGAGTACCGACATGAGCAAGGATGACACGACCACTACCACTGTCGTTGCTGAACGTGTGACTTCATCACAAGGTCAAGATAGAAGCACAACAGATGATGCGGATGTATACTTTTATTCTCTCTTCTGAAAACTTAAGGCGTTTGTATTTTAGTAAACACCTTTGTTATGGTGTTTCCTACTACTACTACTACTACTACTACTACTACTACTACTACTACTACTACTACTACTACTACTACTACTACTACTACTACTACCACTACTACTACTACTACTTCTACTACTACTACTACTAATGTAGATTATTTCTATAGCGCCCACCCGTGTGAACACAACTCTAGGCGCTTTACAAAAATGCATGTACAAAAGATATTCACACACGCACACACACACACACACACACACACACACACACACACACACACACACACACACATATGGCCTCTAAAACCGTCGCTGGTCAATCATTTTTAAAAGAAAATTTCAAACCTATTCGGTAAACATCAATAAATAATAATTTTTTCTAATATCCCGGGGAAAAGGGCGGCCTTGTGGGGGGGGGGGCTCCCAGGTTATTTTAAAAGAGCGAAATATTAAAATATTAATATGAAATTAGGATTAGACTGATAGTTCGAATTAAACCCATGAAACATTGATTTAAAAAAAAAAAAAAAAAACCACAAACAAACAAACAATAAACAACAAAACGAAACAAAACCACAAAACCTTATGATCTGCGCGACATGTATGGAGTCAAATTTAGAGAAAAACGGATAAGATTGAGTTGAGCAAGAAAATGTATACCTGAGCATTTAAAAGGTGAAAATTAAAATAATAATATAATCAGTTACCTTTTTGGGC